TCTGCTTCCATGTATATCTGCACACCAGAAGAGGGCACCAGATCTCATAAGGGATGGTTGTGAGCCACCATGTGGTTGCTGGGAATTGAACTCAGGACCTCTGGAAGAGCAGTCGGTGCTCTTAACCTTTGAGCCATCTCTCCAGCCCCTAGTTTCTCTTTTTAATGTAGTGCTGAGCATTGGAACCAGGACCTCATATATCACGGGTAGAAGCTGTACTTCTAAGGGACCTGGAGAGATGGTTTAGCAGTTAAGAGTACCTGGTGCTTTTCCTGAGGCCCCACCTGAGTTCCTGAGTCCCATTCCCAGCACCCATTTGAGGTAATATCAGCTCCAGGGATCAACATCTTTAGTCACCACAAGCACCTGCATTCATGCACACATGCACATAACTAAAGATAATAAAAATGTTTCTAAAAGAGTTCTACTTCTGAGCTATAGTCTCAGCATGCTATGGTCACAGCTTTAACTAGCTCTTCTAGAAGCAGTGGCATCATGGAACTGTTGGGAGTCGGAAGTTCCATTATAGGGAAAGCAAAACAGCTGAATGAATGGAAGTGCTTGCCATCAAGCCTAAGAACTCGGGTTAGAATTCCAGCCTCGAAACCCACAGTGGAGGGAGAGAACTACTTCCTGAAGTTGCTCTCCAACCTCCCCACTCATGGGGCAAGAGTATCAGCACACACAGACACTAGAAATAAATACAAGAAAGAGAAAGAAACCCCAGGTTATAGCTGGATGGAGTGGCAGGCATATACCTGTAACCCCAACCCTAGAGAGGCAGAGGCAAAAGTCCAAAGAGCAAACAAGCTAACAAACAAAAAAACATTTGCACGAATGGATAAGGCTGAGTCTCAGATGCGTCATTTAGCTTCTGTGTTTCTTCATCTACAGATTGGGACAATACTAGGACTGCTGAGATGGACAAGAATTCAGTGTTAGATAGAGGATGTCATTCCTGGTCCTCAAGCTCTAGTGACACCATCTCACTTGTACTTTCCCAAAATGTTCTGGAATGCTCTCTATGGCTTGTAGGGGAAGCTGTAGCCACACCTTCTTACCTGACTCTGTATTGGTAATTTCTTACTATAATGGCTACCTCCCTTTGTTTTATCTTTTGTTATATTTTATGTGTATGAAGTGTTTTCCTTGGGATATTCTGTTTTTGTTTTTGTTTTTCTTTGTTTTGTGAGACAGGGTCTCTCTATGTAGGCCTGGCTGTCCTAGAACTCACTCTGTAGAACAGGTTGGCTTTGAACTCACAGAGATCTGCCTGCTTCTACCTCTCCATTGCTGGGATTAAAGGTGTGTGCTGCCAAGCCTGGCTTTGTATGAAATATTTTGTCCCCATGTTTGTAAGTGCACCACATTCATGCCTGGTGCCCTCAGAAGCCAGATCTCCTATGACTGGAGTTGCAGACGGTTGGAGCTGCTGTGAGGGTGCTGGGAATCAAACCCAAGTACTTTGGAAGAGTAGCTGAGCTCTCCAGCTCTTCTCTAAGGCCACTTTCACAATCCTATGAATATACTTTGTGTTGGTGAAACTTGTCTGAAATCCCAGTACTTGGGAAGCTGAGACAGGAGAATCCCCAAGAGTTTGGAGCCAGTCTGGGCTACATCGTAAGACCTTATTTCAAAAAAAAAAAGCAAACACAATACAAAATAAAAACTACTAATGATTCTTCAGAGCCCAAATCCTGAGTCCTTGTTCCAGCTAGGTTAAGTCTTTTTCTTCTCCTTTCCTTTATCCTGCTTGGCTCCAGTTGGCCCCTTAGGTTCTCCTATACCCAGCAAGCTTTTCTTGATATCCCTTGTGCTCCCATGCAAACCAAATGCTTTGAACATGGCTCTTCATCAGGTTATAGTTCACTTGCTATTATTTCTACTAAACCATGGGCTCCCTGAGGGCAGTGACCAACTGATTCCTATGCCTCAACACTGGGTTAGGAGAATATAGTAGATATTCAATGCTGTGGGGTTTTTGTTTGTTGTTTGTTTGTTTTCTGAGACAGGATTTCCCTGTAACTTTGGAGCCTGTCCTGGAACTTGATCTGTAGACGAGGCTGGCTTCGAACTCACAGAGATCCGCCTGCCTCTGCCTCCTGAGTATTGGGACTAAAGGTGTGCACCACCACCTGGCTCAATGCTGTTTTTATTAAGTTGCTTTAATTTTTTTCTTTTTCTGTTCTTAGAATTGAAGGTAGGGCCTCACTCATATTAGGCAAGTTCTTTACCATTGAGCTGTATTTTAAGCCCCTTCACCCACTGTTTTTTGAGACTGAGTCTCATGAAATTCAGGCTGGCTTCAAACTTGCTGTGTGACTGAAAATAACCTTAAATTCCTGATCTTTTGCCTCTAACTTCTGTGTGCTGGAGTTACAGGTGTGCACCACCACACCCAGCAGAAATCACATCCCTGTTAGTGTTTCTGTGACAATATTTATGACCTTCCTTCTGCTTTGGTGCATACATGCCTCTCTCACTAACATAGACTGTCTTCAGTTTACCCTCCTGTTAGCTTGGGTCTAGGACAATGCCACTTTTACAGTCAATGCTAGGTTCCCTCGTCTGTAAAACGAGGCTAATAACAACAGCCACCCTAAAGCATTCTGTAAAGGTTAAGATGTGACAAACACTTTGTAAAAGTCAGAGTGCAATGCAAATGCTGGTTTAGGTTTCTGGAAGGAGTTTGGGGGTTGCAGCTAGGACTAAACAGAACTCTATCTCCTTTTAAAAGACAAGGTCTCATGTATAATAGGTTGAGGATGATCTTGAATTTCTCAATCTCCTGAGTGCAGGTACACCTCACCACACCTCATTTATGCAACCATCACATTCAGGGCTTATCTGAATTACATTTTGGGCACATACTGTGTCAACCAGTGTCTATCAGTTACTAAACCCTTCTGAGCCCCAGCTTCTGCCACCCCATTTGTCAAATAGAAATACTAGTGTCAGCCGGGCAGTGGTGGCGCACGCCTTTAATCCCAGCACTCTGGAGGCAGAGGCAGGTGGATCTCTGTGAGTTTGAGACCAGCCTGGTCTACGAGAGCTAGTTCCAGGACAGCCTCCAAAGCTACAGAGAAACACTGTCTCGAAAAACCGAAAGAAAAAACAAAAACAAAAACAAAAAACAAAAAACAAAACAAAACAAAAAAACCAAAAACAGTAGCTGTGTAAGCCTGATGATTTGAGCTGGATCCCTAGGACCTGCATAAAAAGCTAGATGCCATGGTGTGCATCTACTACTCCAGCACTCCTATAGTGAGATGGGAAGAGAGGAGAATAAGCTGAAAGCTCACTGGCTAACTAGCTTGGAGTACACAGCGTGGCAGAAACACTGTCCTCCACACTTGTGCCGTGTGTACCTGCACACAGGCTTACAAACTTTCAGGACATGCGCACACACGCGAAGGAAAAACCCCACAGCTGTGCTAGCCTTCTTGTTCCTTCCCTCTTCCCCAACCCAGTATCCTCAGCTCTTTTACTCCCTACAGCATAACCACTTAGGCTTCCTTATTCTCCGTATGGCTGAGCACTTCACAGAGGGATGAGTGGGACAGAGCAGTGCCTGGGTGACAGGGAGAGCTCAGCAAATACTCTGTTGTTATTGCAGTTACTATAGCACCAAAGAGCCAGCAAGTGCTTGCCACCCAGTGACTAGACATGAGGAACACAGGGTCACAGGAAGTCAGGATGAGTTAGGCTTACAAGGAAGGCGCAATGGCTGACTGAGAGTGAGGGGGTTCAGGGCCAGGGGGCGGAGAAGAGGCAAATGGACCATACTCACTGTGCTATAGTTGCTGAAGAGGCCCAGGGTTGGGGCTGGCTCCAGTGGAAAGGGCAGGATCTGCTTGAGGTCCATTGGGGGCTGCATGATGGGGGGCTGCCGGAGCAGAGGGAGGGGCCCTGCCCGGCTCAGGCTGCCTGAAGGGCAGAGAAAACATTCTGTGGGGTAGGAAGACTGGAGCTTGTCAACCCCACCCAAGTTCATAGCACTACTCCCTAGATGAGGCTCCTACACTCACAAGTGTGCCCCCAGAGTGTGAACCATATACATACTTCCCCTGCTGCTCAAGGAGCAGACCCACTGTGGGCCTGGGGACACAGGCTGGTCTTCCCTTCTGGGTGGTTTTCACTTCCCCCTTCTACTGCCTCCTTCCCCAAGCCCTTTAGGCTTTTTACAGACCCAGGAAAAGCCTAGACCTTCTCTGTAGACAGCCTGCCCCTGGACCGACTCTGAATCCTTAAGTCCCACCTCTGGTCTGAAGTTCCCTGGGTATCTGAAGGTTTGTTGGATACCAAGAAACATAATCAAGTAGGTGACTTAACTCACTGTCCAGAAGGGGACATTGAGGAGGCTGCTGCATCTGGCTCCCTAAGTTATGATGCTGTTCAGGTCATAATTCTTGAGTAATTGTCACCATCTCCGGGTGCCATTTGCTCCAAGTCCCTTCTGTAGCCCCTCAGTCCTATCAGACCCATTAGTCTCACCCACCGGGTGGGTTCAGTTCCAGCTCTGCAAGAGGAACCTTAGCCAAAGCCTCTGGGGAGAGGAGGGCCTGCATGTGACCCCAAGGGGAAATGAAAGTCCAGCTAGCCATTCAGTAGCACCTCTGAAACCTTCTCTTCCCTCTAGAGTCCTTAAGGAGGCTCTACCAGGTTCCTAAGGACCCAGCTCAAAAGTACTCAGGACCCTCTGGGTTTCTGCTGGCCCAGCTTCCTTCTGAAGAGGCTTTTGTCCACCAGCTGGGCAGTTCCTGCTGCCCTCCACTACTCCTGCACTCTCTGCCAGCAGCAGGGGTTTCTGGAACAAAGACTAGACCAAGAGACTGCATGCCTGGCCCTGGACCTCCCTTGACCTTCTTAGGGTAGTGGGTCCCCAGGATCCTCTCTTGTTCCCTCCACAGAGACACCCCTGTCATACCTTCAGTAGCTGGTACTTGCTGCCCCCAGGCAGTGGCCTGGCCCTGGCCCCCTAGGGGCCTGGGCCTGACAGTGTCCCCTTCCCTTGGTTCTGCCCTCTGCCCCCTTCCTTTACCATCCCCCTCCCCCAGCCCAGTCAGTAGAATCAGCCAATCAGAGGCCCGGAAAAGTGGGGCAGAGGGGAGGGCGGGGGAGCAGGGATTAGGGGAATCTGAAGCCAGAGGGAGGGGGTGGGGAGGGCTCAGGATGGGGGGAATCAGAGGCGGGGGGGGGGGGGTGGGGAGGGCTCAGGCACAGCTGGGGGTGGAGAATGAGGTCCAGAAAGGTCTGGAGGGGTCTGTCTCTTCCACCCAGTGCCAAGACTGGAGGCCGGTGTGCCTGAGGCAGACAGGGGTCAAAGCTGCTGGGAGCTTGGTTTCCAAATTCTAAGGCCTGAAGAAGATGATAGGATGTTTGCTTTTGGCCTTTGAACTATTGGGGGTCTGAATGCCTCCTGTCCATGTCCTCTTCTGATACTTTACATTTGGAATGGTGTGTGTGTGTGTGTGTGTGTGTGTGTGTGTGTGTGTGTGTGTGTAGGAGAGAGGTGAAGGAGAGAGAGGGAGGGGGAATATACAAGAGAGAGAGTGGCAGAAGCAGGAAAAGGTGACTAGAAAAGGGACACAGAAAAGTCCAAGGTTGGAAAGTGGGAAGGGAGTTTAACACCAGCAGGACACAGCTGACAGGCAGGATGCAGAGCTAGATGAGGACAGGGAGACCCCAGGGCAGAGACACAAGGTGAGAAAGATGAAGGTGAAGACAGGGACAGACAGACTGATCTCTTCTTCCTGGTCTGTCCTCTCAGGCCTCTCCCCTGTGCCCCACCCCTCCTCACTGCCTGGCACACCAGGTCAACTTTAACGAGCCTCAGGAATGGTGAGAGAAACCCGAGTGCTCACAGTGTCCCCTGCTCCCACTCCCAGCAGCTGGTTTGGGGCTGGCACTTCCACACCAGGGCACCACGTACTACAGCTTGGCTCCTTGACCTTGTCCCTGGCTGTCAACTCTCTAGGATCCCACTCCCAAAATCCAATTTAGAGGAGACAGATGAGTTCCAGAAAAAGCCACAGAGAAGCATTCAAAGAACCACTAAGTACCAGGCAATGAGCAGGAGTCTTATCACATGTAAGCCTGGAGATAGTTTGGGAGATGGCTGTGATTCTATGAAGTAACCAGTATTATTTTTTTTCCATTCAGCATGTGAGGAGACTGGGACTCAGAGAGGTTAAAGAACTTGGCTGATGTCACACAGTCTTAAGTATCGGGGCTGAGAGTCAAATCAAGACCTGTCGCACTCTAGCAAATTCTTCCTCTGCTACATTGCTCCCAGAGGGCTCTCATTTAATGCTGAATCGGAGAACTGAGCACAGGCTTGCATCTGGTTTAAGCAGAGAATGGGCAAAGCGATTCCTTGCTTTTCCTGGGTGTGGAGTCCTCATTTAGCTTTAGAGGAGGAGAGATGGAGGAGAACAGACAGAAGCCACTCAGTTCCCTGGAACTGACGTGGAGCAGGCTGGGGTGAGGAGAGAAGTGGGGCAAAGGAGTGAGATGAGGGCAGAGTGAAGGAAGGGAGAGGGGTGGGAACCAGGGGAGGCTTGTCCCCAGACTCCCATGGCTCCGCCACTCTGAAATCTGAGGCGGGAGAGGGATTGGGTGAGCAGAAAAAGGGCTCTTCCCAGCTGAGACTCGGTGGTAGAGCATTTGCTTAGCATGTGTGGAGGCTTGTCCCCAGACTCCCAGGGCTCCGCCACTCTGAAATCTGAGGCGGGAGAGGGATTGGGTGAACAGAAACAGGGCTCTTCCCAGCTGAGACTCGGTGGTAGAGCATTTGCTTAGCATGTGGGAGGCTCTGGGTTCAATTTCTGGTGCCTCACTGCTCTCCCACTCTAAAAAAGCTCCAGGGTTCTTGGTCTCGAGCATCGTGCACATCCACCCTTTTCTGAGAAAAACAATTGCCACTTTTTGAAGCTTATTCCTTTCTTTCTTTCTTTCTTTCTTTCTTTCTTTCTTTCTTTCTTTCTTTCTTTCTTTCTCTGTCCTGACATCCACTATACAGACACACAGACCAGGCTGGCCCTCAAACTCACAGAAATCTGCCTGCCTCTGTCTTCACAGTGCTGGGATTTAAGGTGTACACTACCACAACTGGCATTTAAAAAATTACTAATTTTTATTTTTATGTGTATGAGTGGGGTTTTGCCTGCATGTATCAAAGTGCAGCGTGTGTGCCGGGTATCCCCAGAGGCCAGGAGAGGGTGTTGGATCACCTGGACCTGGAGTTAACTGTTGGCTGTGAGCCACCATATGGGTACTAAACTCAAGTCCTCTGCAAGAGCAGCAAGTGCTGTTAACTGCTGAGCCATCTCTCCAGCCTCCTGAGGCTTATTCATTGACTGGGCATTATATATACATAGTCTCCCACGAGATGGTTTTACTGTGCTAACTGGGTGAGTAGTAGCTGGTTTCTCTGACTTGCTCACTCTCATTTCTCATCTGTCAAACTGGAACAACAGTACCTGCCTCCTAGAGTTGATGACAAGATTGAACGAGTCTGTGTAAAGTGCTGGCACGACACACTGAGCACTCAATAAATGTTTGCTGAATAAATGAATTCTTTTATGATCAATGATGACAGTTGGTTCAGATAGGGGGCGTTAGTAGACCAAGGTCACACAGCAAGTGGGGAATTTGAATGGGTCTCTCTCCTAAGTAAGGTTTTCAAACATTATGCTTTTCTGGTTAGGCTGGAGAAGAAAAGGAAGACAAAAAAGAGGAGGAGGAAAAGGAACAAATCCAACACTTTTGATATGTGGGAGGTGAGGGCTTCAGGAAGGTTGGAGGAAGAGAAGGAGAGCAAATTTCGAGCTTGTGTATGCCTGTGTGGCACCCAGGTGAGGTAGGGTTGGGAGGAGTTAGGGTCGGGCTGGGGCAGGCCACTCTAGAGGGAAGCTCATTAGTGTAATTACCTCCAGCAGACAGCCCCACCCTGCTCCATGGGGGATTGTTACATGCTCTATTCAAGACAACTTCCAAGGCACTATGGAGGGGTGAGCTTGCAGACCGTTGGGCGGCATCCACCTGTCCATTCCGAAAACCCTGTTTAGCTCTGGGTACTTTGCTTGCATTCTGTATTCCACAGTCAAACCATACTAGCCTCCTACGTCTCAGTGAGGGCTGCTCTTTTCCTTCCTCCCCTAAAAAGTCTGGCCAGGTCCTGAGCCGTGGCTCCTGGGCTTTCTTAGGTGGGCTGGGCAGGTCTGGTGTAGAGAATGGGAACAGTCCGGGCGAGTCTGCCATGAACTGAGCTGTCTCTGGGAGTGGCCCATCTGGGCAGGGCAGGATCAGGGAAGGTTTTAGGGTAGGGCTGTGATTTAGTAGTGACTGTCTCACAAGGGTGACACTGAAATCAGAGGTTTTGGGCTTAGGGCTGTGGGTGATTAGGGCCCCATGGTGGTGAAAGGAACACCATGGGGCTAAGTTGGGAATCAGCCTCTGAAGCCAAAGAAGAGATTGAGATTTCATCTTTTCTCCTTCAGGCCTTTTAGTTTCTTTCCCAGAAATGTCTAAAATCAGGGTCAGGCTAGTGGGGGAAGCACTGTCTTATCCTTTTGGTCAAGTCCAATGAATCTGTCCCCTCTGCCTCAATTCCTTCAGCCTGGCAGAAGGCAGGCAGAGGACTGGAAAGGCTTTGAAGTTAAAGATGAAAGAGACAAGGGGATGATTATGCACAACTAAAAACACCAGCCCTAATAACCTCGGGGTATATGTGGGTGGGGGTGGGGCCTCGAGGGAGGTGGTGCCTAGGATGGGAGGGGCTGACTGTAGACCTTTGAGAAATCTTACCCACCTGAATGAAAGGGCCCACCCTCTCCAGGCTCACTAAACCAGGGACTTAGTTGCAAAGGACGGTGACAACCTAGGGAGCCCTCTCCAGGCTCCTGCGGCTCACTAAACCAGGGACTTAGTTGCAAAGGACGGTGACAACCTAGGGAATCTGAACTCAGAAATGTCATCTTGAACCTTGAAGCCTTGCTTTTTTTTTTTTTTTTCCTTTGAGACAGGGTTTCTCTGTGTAGCTTTGGCTGTCCTGGAACTCACTCTGAAGACTAGGCTAGCCTCAAACATACAGAAATCCTCTCGTCCACCCCACCAGTGCCCTGCCAAGGCCCTGATTCTTATGTGTCTTTTAATTTTGTTTGGAGGCAGGTTCTCACTCTGTAGGCCAGGTTGGCCTTGAACTCACTCTTTATCCCAGGCTGGCCTCAATTCCCAATAAGCTCTCTCCTCCCTCAGCCTGCTGAGGCACAAGCCACCATGTTCAGCTGAGCTGGGTAGGGCTGCCTTGTAAAGGACTCAGTGACCTTACCATCCAGACCCAAATACCCTAGTATGGTTCTAAGGTGGGTCTTGAGTCCTGGTAGACAGTTCCCTCTTCTTCCCTCTTAAAGAGGGTTGGGATGTAAGAGGGGGGAGGCTGAGGTGTATGGGGCACTACTGGGCTCCCACTCCTCTGTGGACTTGGCACCAGGAAGGAGTTAATTATAGTGTCCTCCAGGGAGATGGTGGAAGCCAGTTGGTGGCAGGGTCCAATGTCAGAGAATTTGGATTCAGTCTTCTTGTGGCTGAGTGTTGGCAGGGCTCTTGCAGGTCTCTGACACCTAGTTCTCTGGGCCCTCCTGACTAGGGCAAACAAAGCTTAACCTCGCCTGTTCTGGGCAAGCAGGACGCCAGCCACCTCTTCAGCTGGCCCAGGGTAGAGCTAGAGCATAGGGGTCACACAGGCTGGCAGAATGTGGAGCTTGTGTGTTGGGGTCCTGAGTCTGGACTGTGTTTGGGGTGTCCCCTGGAGTTGGGACAGTATTCACAGAAGGGCAGATGACCTGCTAGAGACAGCCTTGGGGAGGAGGTGGGTAACAGACATTCATGCCTTGGTTCTCATTCATTTAAATAGCTGTGATGGATGGCCAGCTGGAGGGGGTAAGGCATAAAAGTCGTGAGAGAGGCTGAGACCATACAGCAGCTATATGAAGGAAGGAGGGTAGAG